ACCTGTGTAGGCTTTCCCTACAGATCTTGGTCAGTCCAAGCCAAGCTCCTTGGAGCCACCTGGGTTGCATTCTTGGTGGCAGCCCCACCCTCCACGACCTTCCCACCTAGCAGGAGAGGAGTGTGCTAGCCTGAAGCCAGGGTCATCCATCTGACTGAATCTCCCCGCAGCAGACCCATGGGTGGCTGGGGGGGGCGGGTTGTTTCTGATTCAGTCTTAATTCTCCCAACAAGCCTCTCTCCCTGCAGAGTCCATAGGAAGAGTACACCTAGTGCCTGCCCCCCTTGGAAGCTGTGGCCCTTACAGGGACCCTGGCGGTCCACCGAGAGCTCTAAGCCTAGTGTCCTCTTGAGATTGAGAACTGTGCACATCTGTGCTCAGAAGACGACCAAGAGTGGGGCAGGCTGTTTGATGAATCCTCCTTTCCTGGGGTGATTGGGGGCCTGTTTTTCCCTTGATTTACCTGCTTCCCGCATGCCCAGTTGGTAAATGGGGCCTATTTCTCCAGGGTGAGGGCCCAGGCACTAGCATTGGAACCTGGGTTGGACCCCCCCAGATACTGGCCTCAGTGGCAGTCTGTGAACAGGATGCCCTGCAGAGGCTCTCCCAGGGAGACCTTGCTGAACTATACCATGAAAAGGGCCTGGGGTGAGGTGTCAGGCCACTGTGACCTTCGTAGCCTAAGAGCCTGACTTACGTACCTCTAGTTTCTTCCCAAAAGTCACCATTGGTAAAATAGATTGGGCCACTTTTCTAGCCTTGAGGCCATAGGTGGCTGAGGCTCATCCTGTGGGCAGCCCCTTTCCAGGAGACCTCAGCCTCTGCACATGTTCCCCTGACTGGCGCCAGAGCTCTGACCTTGCACACAAGGGAGAGGAGCCTCTGTCCAGCAGCTGACCCTGGGCCCAGTCAGGACAGCCTAGCACTGAGCACCATGCACGCACTACCACAGCCGGCTCTGCCAGGTGCAGACCTGGGCAGCAGTCATTCCTTCTGTGCCTCAGTTTCTCCATTGGTTAAAGAGGGACGGTCCCATTTCCCTTGCCTACCTCATAGAGCTATAATGAGGACTGATGGATGGAAAAGCACTTTGTCCCCTCTAAGGACAACTAGACGCCAAAGCCACCTGACAGCCAGTGCAGTGGCCAGGACAGTGGAGTGTGTCCTTCCCATGGGCCTCAGCCCCAAGGCATCACCTTAGACCAACACCTGGACTCAACACGCCAGGCTCCTCTTAGATCTCGCCACACAGCCTGTGAGGGAGTAAACTCTACCCTCATCCCCGCCAGCTGGGGGGTTGGTCCCTGCCCCTACCCTCCGCATGTAGCCCATTGTCCTGTATCAGTACCAGAGCTGGCAGGGCCGAGGGGAACCTGGGTGACTGTCAGGGCTTACCTGCCATTCCCTGCAGGCCTCATTCCAGAGCGGAAGACGGCCTCTAGCCTCCGTCCGGAATGAATTCCAAGAAAACGTCCGGGCATTCTTCCGGCCCCCCCCCCATGCCGTCCACTGTCCTGTCCTGGAGGCCCAGCGGGGCTGTTGGCCGTGTGCTGTGCGTTGCTGGTTTTTAATGGGAAGTAGGACTCATGTAAATAGCTTTTCCGGGAGCAGATGCTGATCTGTCCCATGTGACCATGTGGACGATTTCAAGGTGCTGAAGCGACACTAATAAACCGACCGCACTCCGGCCGCCCACTGTTGTGCTTTCTTGTGTATTGGGGCGCTCAGGCTGGGAGTGCTGCCCCCCCCCCCCGCTAGGCCGGAAGCGGAAGTGGGTGGGGTGTGCAGTGCGGAGACTTCTGGTTCGGGCTCCGCCCCCCGCCCCCCCCTGTTTGTCGTTCTTGTGGTGTGGGGGCCCCAGGGTGGGGGCGCCTCCCCCCCCCCCCCGCTAGGCCGGAAGCGGAAGTGGGTGGGATGTGCAGTGCGGAGACTTCTGGTTCGGGCTCCGCCCTTCGCAGAGGTGCGTCTGCCCCTCCAGATCAGATTCCACCCTTGGCACCCGGCGGAGCTCATCCCGCTCAGACCTCACGGCCCGCACCCTGCACACCCCGCTGAGCCCGGGCACACTACCCCAGACCGCCCTGCTGACCCCCACCTCGCTCCACCATCCTCGGCGGCCTTTGAGCTGCCCAGCCTGGATCCCATGGGTCCTCCCAGCCCTTCCCGCCACTCCAGTGTCGGGCCAGCTCCCTTGAGTCGATCTTACGGGGCCTTTCCGGGTCTCCCTGAACCCTCCCCTGACCTCACTGGGAGAGGTCCTCCCGCGTGGGTGCGTGAGGGTGACTCCTGCATCCTCGACACCCCCCACCCCCCCCCGCAACTGTCTCCTCGGCGAAGACCAGGGAGAGGGTTGGAAATGAGAGCTCGGGGCTTGGCCTTGGGCGTGTAGGAGGGAGGAGGTCACAGGCGGGAGGTGGACTGCGGGCAGGAGCCCAGTCGGGAGAAGGCTGGCCAGGGACAGCAGGGGTAGGGAAGAGCGGGGTGGGGTGCTGCTGTCCCTGGGGAGTCCTTGATGTGCAGTATTTGCCAGTGCGGGATTGTCTGTGGGTAAGAGTGGTCACTGACTAGAAAGTGGCCAAAGCAGAGCCTGCCGGTGCCCGGCGCCCTTCCCGCCCCTTCCCCAGAGCCCTAGAAGCCTGGACTGCAGTCTGTTGGGGGTAGAGATGGACAACAGGCAGCAGCGTCCCCAGAGGAAGATGCTGCAGTGGCAGGTCACTCAAGAGCCAGGGCAGCAGTCTTTCCCAGATGGGCCTTCAGCAACCTCAGTCCAGCCAGACACTGAGAGCAACCCTTGGAAGGATCTGCAGACCCAGGACTGGGTAAGCAAGCATTAGGCCTTGCTGGAAACCCAGGCTTTGAGGTGGGATGGTGGGGAGAAGGGGCCTCTGGGACCAGAGGGGGAAACTGAATGAGCGACAGAAACATGCAGCTGGGGTTGGGGCCTCTCTCTGACCACTGGCTGGCTTCTTGCACCCCTTGCCCTCTCTGGTGGACCCGTGCAGGGGTCACCTGAAACCAAGAAGAGGATGGCAGACACCCATTTCAGCCCTCCCCAGGGTTCCCTTCCCCTGGCCAAGTGGATGTCACTACCCGGGAGGAAGAATGAGGTCCCTACAGCAGGGGCTGTGTCCTCCCCTCTGGACAGATGTCAGTCACCACTGAAATGTGCATAGCAGCTGTGTCTATGACAACCTCAACAGGAAGCAAACCCTGACCAGCTGCCACTGGACAGCAAGCAATGAGCTGTGTTCAGCCCAGTGGGGAGAGGAGCAGGTGCAACTGTGCAGACCCCAGGGTGTTCCCTGAGCAGAGGAAGTCACACCATCTGTGCGTAGTTCCACTCAGGGAGGATTCAAAGCCAGACCACATGGGTCAAGCTTATGACAGGACTAGTGCATGAAGGGCTCTTTGGTGCTGGTAGTTCTGGGTGCTGGTCCTGTAACCAGCCCCTTGAGCCGGGCACTGGGATGTTTGTCTACATGTGTACCTGTTGAGATCAACAGTGGCAGGTAAAGAAGTGGGCTGCCAATCTGGATGTGGTGACTCATGCTTCTAATCCCAGCACTCGAAGAAGTCTAGGCAGTACTGTTGTAACTTCAAGGCCAGACTGGGCTGCATAACAAGACCCTACCTCAAAACCTAACAACAAAACAGAGAGCAAGCTCTCAGAGCTATCTGTGTGGGCTCTCAAGTGTTTGTAACCTCCTAGGCATGTCCTCCAGTGCTTCGAGGTCCCTACAAAGGTCCCAAGTGCTAGGACTTCCGCAGTCCCAACCAACAGACCCTCAGCTTTCATGAGGCCAACAACTCATGCTGGGCATAGACTGTCAAAACACTAGTGTCATCTGCCATGGGTGAGGGGTGCTCAGGACAAGGAACAGATGCATGGCTTCCATCCTAGTCAGTTAGTGGGAAAGAACCATGGAGCCTTGTGTCTGAAGGGTCAGGGTAAGGGAGTGCATACTGGTCCCACTCCAGGCTCCTGGCTGGGGACAGAGAGTCACTTCAGTGTCTACTCTGGTTCCCTTCAGAAGTGGCTCCTATGCACCTCTTCCCTTCACAGTTCTCCAGTTGTGCTAGTGGCCTTGAGGGTTGCCCAGGCTGCCCTCCTAACCTTGTCCTGTGTGGACTCTTTCTTCCCACTCTCCGTGGATGCCTCCTTGGTGTGGAAGATTCTTCCTCTGGATCTTTCCTAGGCTGACCCTATCTGCAGTGTCACCTCCCCCAGAGCTCCTAGCCTGGCTAACAGATATCTGTTGTCCCTCCCTTCCCAGCTTGAGCCCCAGAGTCAGCTTCTCTGCTGCTTATTTGAGGCCTACAGTGCCACATGTGGTGCCATCATGTCCTCGCAGAACACTGACTATGGACTGATGCAAGGGCTGGAGATAACCTCCCCAGCAAAGGGTCCCCAGGCATCCAGCTCAGCCACAGCAAAACACTCCCTGACAATCTGGCCAGGATGGCCACAGAGTGTTGTGAACACTGAAGAGGAGCAGGCAGGCGCTTAGGGTGACCACTGACTGCACCACAGAGGACACCCTCCTCTTAACCTCATCTTCTCTTGAAACTTTGACTAACCAACCAAGGAGCACCAAACAGGCAAAGTCAACCACACATGGAGACCCTGTGACTGTCCTGGTCTTTCCAGAAAAATCTGGAACATTACACAGTTTAGAAGTCAGCCTCTGTAAGTACAACAACAAACTGGGAGTCAGCAAGGGAAGACAGTCCTCACATTTCATGACAGCAGTAAAACTTAGGAAAAGTGCAAAACCTATTTGAGGTGAACTAAAACACCCCTCCAAGAATGACAAAGACCTGAACGGTGGGGGAGAAGAGTTGTGTTCCTAGAGAGCAAAGTCGCCAGGGCTGAGGGGACTCCAAGGCATTTCATGGCTCATCACATCACTGTAAAAATGCTGCCTGCTTCATAGTGCAAGGCTGTGCTGGCCATACTAGAGAGATGCAGACTGGCACAGAAAGAATATGAAAATAGAAGAAAAGTGATCACTATTGGCAATAATATGCTGTCTACACACAAGCCAGTTTATTTATTTTACTTAATTTTTTTGTTTTTGTTTTGAGATGGTCTCCCTGGAGAACCAGCTGGTCTGGAGCTTGCTCTATAGACCAGGCTAGCCTCAATCTCACAGAGACCCACCTGTTTCTGCCTCCTGGGTGCTGGAGTTAAAGGTGTGCCACCATGTCTGGTTTACACAAGCCAATTTAAAACTAAAAGAGGAAGAAGGTTGGTTACATGACCACAGCAACTTACTACTTTCAATACACTGAAAATAACCAACCAGATAATGCCATGAATAGGGTCCCCATTCACTTGAGCAACTGATTTTTTTTTTTTTTTTTTTTTTTTTTTTTTTTTTGTCTTTTTGAGACAGGGTCTCCCTGTAGCCCCAGCTGTCCTGGAACTCACTATGTAGACCAGGCTGGCCTCGAACTCACAGAGATCCGCCTGCCTCTGCCTCCCAAGTGCTGGGATTAAAGGGACTTGCCACCATGCCTGGCTCCCTATTTTTAATTTTTAAATTTATTTTTTGTGTATGAGCGTTTTGCTCACATATGTAACTGCACTACATGCATGCAATGCCCACAGAGGCCAGAAGAGGGTGTTGGATCCTCTGAAACTGGAGTTATGGACAATTTTTAGTTGCTATGTGGGTGCTGGGAATTGAGCCAAGATCCTCTCCAAGAGCAGCCAGTGCTCCTAACCATTGAGCCACCTCTCCAACCCCCATTTTATTTTTTTATGTGTATATGTTTGTGCTTGTCTGTATGTGCACCACATGTGCCACATACATGCAGCTGTACCTGGAGAGGTAGAGTCGTCTCTCCAGCCCCTGTTGAACGCCTTATATGAGGCACAAAGTTTCGCCAGATAACATGGAGGTGTGTGGACATGTACCATACTATTGGATGGACATATATAATGTTTTCAACCTGCCAGTTTTCCCCAAAAATTATTCAGTTGTTTTCCCTTTTTTGGGTGGGGAGGGTATTTATTTGGTTTGGGATTTTTGAAACAAGATCTCATGTAACAGCCCAGGGTGGCTTCTAACTTGCTGTATAGCCAAGGATGACCTTGACCTCTTGATCTTCCTGCCTCCACCTCTTGAGCTCTGAGAGTCTGAGTATGTGTCACCATGCCTGCAGGCCATGTATTTGGGAGCTGTTTTGTGGGGTGGCTGTGGCTTGGACTCTAGAGGTTATGGTCAAGGTTTCAGTCAGCCAGTCATCTGAAGGTGGGGGGAGGCCGGAAGCCGCTGCTACAGCGGTTCCCTGTAAGTGAGCAAGTCAGTGCTAGATGGGAGAGAGGGTTGCAGACCCTTACCACAGGGAGCTGTCTGGGTGGGGAACTCCCCTGGGCAGTTGAGCAGCTGCACAAAGGCAGGCAACCAGGCACTTAACTTCCCCCAGTGAGTGAGTGGAGAGGGCTGCAAGTGGTTTTTTATGATCTAGCCTGGGCGGCACACGCCATCATATCTTTTTATTTACACTGGTCATTCCTACTTAATGTTAGGAGTTGGGGGAGGGGCACAGGAACGTGACTGCGGATGGGAAGAGTCACTGGGTACCATCTCTATCGAAGCAGGGCAAATGAAAGGATCCTCCCCGTCGTGGTGCAGCTTAGGAGCCCCTGGACACAACAGTTACCCATTCTGAATATGCAAATGTAAGCACTATGTTGCTAATATATTCATTAACATATAATTTGAAAAACAAAGACTTTAAATTTGAAAAACCATGCAACAAATTTTTTAAAACAAGTAAAGCTAGGTTTTGCTCTAAACTCAGGCACCAAGGAAAAAATTGTGTGGGATTGCGAAAGTTGGGTAAATTGTACCCACAAAAATCTAGGATAAAAGCTCAGAAGTTGACCCTGAATAAATCTCGGGGTTTGATTTGTGCTTATTGTGGACTTACAAACTCACGGTAAACAGTTTTCAACAAATGATAGTGGGGTGATTGTCGATTTACAGCCCCACCTCAGAGCGCATACGTGTGCACACACACCAAACATAAACCACAGAAAACTCCTGAAGGATATGTATTTAGAATCCCAGGGAAGCCGTGGTTTTCTTAGCACAGACTTAAAAGTCCTTGGGGGAAAGCCCAACAGATTTCTAGAGTATGACAGAGGCTGAGACAGACAAGCAGTCTAGAAGAAATGCTTATAGTATTTATATCATGGAAATACCAACCAGAATCTATGAAAAGATGATTTAAGATGGGAAAGCCAGCACAGTGACACCTACTTGTCATCTCAACCCTTGGGATACGGAGACAGGAGGATTATGAGTCCAAGACCAGTGTGAGCTACTTGCCAAGACCCTGTCTACAAAACAAAACATCAATGAAGAAACCTTTTTTCCCCAAACATTTATTATTTTTACTCCATGTGCATGAGTGTACTGCCTGCATGTATGTGACCGCACCCGTGTCATGCAATGCCACGGAGGTCAGAAGAGCAGATTCCCCTGGAACTGGAGTTAAGGACCGTTTGTAGCCACCATGTGGGTGCTGGGAATTGAACCCAGGTCCTCTGCAAGAGCAGTCAGTGCTCTTAACCGCTGAGCGGTCTCTGCAGCCCTGAGGAAACTTTTTTATTGTTGAATGGCGGCTGAGGGGTGTAACTCAGCAGCAGGTCATTGGCCTGCCATAAAATAAACAGGAAAAAGAAAGAAAAGCTTGTAGAGCCGGTGGGTGTTCAGTTCCCAAAGCAGCAGCTAACCTGAGCACTAAGCATGAATAAAGTGGTAAAAATGATGGTGATAGCTTTAGCTGGACCGACGAGCAGGCGAGGACAGAGTGACTGTCCCACTAATTTCTCAAAGAACCTATTTGTAATCATTGTCTACTTTTTTTTTTAATTTGAGGTAGGGTCTTACTATGTAGCCCTGACTGGCCTGGAACTCACAGAGATCACCTGCCTCTGCCTTCCATGTGCTGGAATTAAAGGCATGTGCCACCATGCCTGGACTCATTTACTCTTTTTTCCTTTAATTTACTAACCTTTCATAATCCTTTTGTATTTTTATTTATTTATTTTGTCTTTTTTTGGGGGGGGGGTCTTTTTGAGACATGGTCTCCCTGTAGCCCAGGCTGGCCTTGAACTCACAGAGATCCGCCTGCCTCTGCCTGGGATTAAAGTGGTGTGTCACCACACCCGGCTTATTTTGTCTTTTGAGACGTGGTCTCCCTGTAGCCTCAGCTAGCCTGGAACTCAATATGTAGTGTCGTCCACCCCCCGCCCGCACTGCCCCCCCCCCCCCCCTAAAGGTGTGTGCCACCACCCCTAGCTGCTCCGCTTTTTTTTTTTTTGAGGTAATAGTTGAATTAACTATCCTTTCCCATTGAGCTTCCATTTTCCATTCCTCTCAGAGTTGAGTAAGTGCATCAGGTCGGTGGCTCTCTGGAGCCTGGCTTTTCTGTTGCAGCTCTTCTGCCACCCATGGGCCCCACGCAGGCCTCCCCTGTCTGTCTGTCTCTTGTCTGTTTCCTGGGTCCTTGGTTTTCTATTTCTGTATTTACTCCCAGAGTATATCAGTCATCAACTTCCTCCAAAAGGATTCACAGGATGTTGAAGTTTTCGAGACTTTAAAGACTCAGAAATCTTTGCACACTTCTATGATGCTTTTGGTTAGATAATTTGGTTAGAGAATTTTCTTGCAGGCCTTCTAAGGCACCTCCCGCCTTCCTCCAGTACCGCCGTCTAACACCCTAGGCCACACGGGCTTCTGATTCTTTGTGCGTGCTCTGGTTTTGTGTGTGTTGCTGGGAACTGAACCCAGGACCTTGTGCATGCTAGACAGGTATGTTATGCCTAAGCAACCGCTCCCCCCAGCCCCATGCTGGTTTTATCTTGGAACGCTTTTTAAGATCTCTTTCCTCTTGTCTATGTTCTGCACTGTCACCACAATGCACCATGATGTGGCTCTTCCTCTCCACTCAATCTGGAGCCTTTTACCCTCATCTCTGGACAGCTTTTGTTCACGTGTCTGTGCATGTTTGTGTATGTACATGTTCATTTTCTCTGTTTCCCTCCTTTTATTAGGTGGAAGTTGGTCACACAGGAATGATTGTCTTTCTCATGATTTCCTAGTTTTTATGACTTTGCTGTGGTTCTCTTTGTTTTCGGTCCTGTTACTAGACCATGATAGATGCCGTGTAATGAGCATCTCCAAATGAACTTCTGTTTTCCACTTCTGGGTCTGAAGTGGGTGGGTTGCATGTCTTGTGTGAGCCCCTCACTATGAGAGGTCTGCTGTTCTTGAGATTGCTGCCACAAACATGAGGCCCATTGTTCTACGTGGTCCATATAGAGCACATGTGCCCTCAGCCAGTGCTGTAAGCAGGACAGAAGGTCCTCCCTCAGGAAGCACTGTGACAGCACAGTGTTAAAGGGGAGATGGACAGTCTCACTACTATGCAAAGAATAGAGTCAAGAATAGGAACAAGTCTGGACCAGCCTCCCACTGAGTTTTCATCCCACCAAGTCACACTTCTCATGTCCAGGGTCCTCCTTGCCCTCTCGATGACCCTTCCCCACATGCTGTCGTCCTTGTCCTCTGGATAGTCCTTCTCTACATGCTGCTGGTTTTGTTTCTTGCATTGCATGCATCCTGCATTGGAAGGGAGGGCCACAGTGACGATGGAGGCCTGGGATCTCTCTCTTGTTTCTTGGCCTCCTGACTGGCGGTTCTATTCTGTTTTGACCTCTGGGCTTCATCAGTACACACTGGTGACCTTGAGTATCTGGGTGTTCTGATGGGCTCCATTAGCAGCTGGCTTTGCTGTGATACACTTGGTTGGGTATCAGGCTGCTGTGCCTTTGCAACCTGCTTTCAGGGGCTACAGGCCTCTGCTCTTTAACAGAAAGGAACTCTAGACTAGGCCAGGAGGAGGTAGAGTAGACCAGGCTTCAGGGAGGAGGGGCTGGGGGTTTGCACACACACACACACACACACACACACACACCTTTTTCTGATTTAAGCATCAGGAATTTATTGTCTCACAGTTCTGGGATCCAGAGATCTAAAAAGAGAAGGTGTCAGAAATGCTGATGTTGCCCTCAGTCTGTGCCGCCATAGCAAACTGCCATAGTTTAGGTGGTATGTAAAGACTTCTTTTTTTTTAATATTTATTTTTATTTTATGTGTATGAGTGTATTGCCTGCATGTATGTGAGTGCACCTGTGTCGTGCAATGCCACGGAGGTCAGAAGAGGGCTGAGTCATCTCTCCAGCCCCAAGACACTTCTTTTTAAAGACTGGCAGTTCAAGCCCAAGGTCCAGGTGGACTCAGGTCTAGAGAGGGCTTGCTTCCCAGGTCATGGACATTGCCCTTCAGCTTTGTCCTCATGGGGAAGGGATGACTGAGCTCTTGGGGGCACCTTTCTGAAGTACTAACTCCATCTGTGAGGGCACCACCCTCAGGACCTCCTCACTTCCCAAAGGCTTTCCTGGTCCCAGCTATGGAGAAGAGGACTTTGGCCTGTAAATTCAGTGGGGCACACATCCTGCCTCTGAGGACTGGGGGGAGGGGTGCAGGGCACTCTCTGGCTTGTAGACCAGTGTCTGCTTGTGTCTCTACATCTTCTCTCTGTGTGTCTTTGGGTCAAATATCCACTTTTTTTCTCATGTGTTTAACTACGTTTTGTGTGTTGGTGGAGGTGCTCGGATGAATCCTGGGTCTTGCATATGTGAAATGTGTGCTCTGTCCTTGAGGACATCCAGCACTTAATGCTTTCTAAATGCGGAGTTAGTGGTGTTGAATATATTCACATTGCTGTGAAATGGACTTGAAGATTTCCCACCTTCCCACAGTCTATGGCTGTCTCCATTAAGCATCTCCCTTTTCTTCCCCAGTGAGTTTGAGTTCCTGTTCCAGCAGGATCGTGTAGCTTGTGAAACATACTCTTTCACTGAGCAGGGTCCTCTGAATTCCCCCACATAGCAGCATGTGTCAAATGTCCTTCCCATTTAAGGCTGAATAATGGTCCATTGTCTAAGTGGATCCCTCCTTGATGGGCACTGGAATTACTTCCGTGTTTTGACTAAATGATGCTGTTGTGGGTGTGCAACACACCTTTCAGAGACCCAGTTTTCAGTTCTGGGTCTACACTCAGAAGTACCATTGGGTCATGTTCATTCTTTTATGATTTTTTTGAGGAAGGGGTTTTTCATTTGGAATTGCATCATCCCCTACTTGTGGCCTGGCACCCCTCCCTCCACAGCAGGGTGTGCCCCTAGGTGGGTCTTCCACAGACAGTGCACCAGGGCAGGGGGCAGCCTGGTACCACTTGAGGGTGGGTTTCCCTGCAAGCCAACATTCCTGCAAGTCACTTTCTCAGTCTCCATGGCTCTGATAATCACTCTCCTCAGCCCTTGACTGTTTTTTAAATTTGTTCTTAGGGCATTCATGAATGTTCATTTCCTCCTAAGTCTCTATGTCTTGCTTGCTTATTTATTTATTTTTATTTAATTAATTTAATGTTTGTCAGTGTTGGTAATGAACCCAGCCTTCAGGATCACTTTACTGGCGACTTAGGGAGGAAGGATGCTTGAGGTTGACCTTAGAGACGCACTTTTTGGGGGCACACAACAGGTTGAGGTGCTGTGCCTCCAGCCCAGCGCTTTGCCAGCACCAGCTGTAAGGCCTCCGCGGCCTCGGGGCAGACACACTGGGGCCGCATGGGGACCCCATAGGGTCCGTGAACGCGGAGCTAGGCGGGTGTCCCGCAGAGGGTTGCGTAATGGGGAGCTGCCGGCCCGCCTGCAGCTCGTACTGGAGCACTGAGAGGGCGTCAGGGTGGCGGTGCTGGAATGCAGCTGCGCGGGGGCCCTTGCCGGTGCTGGATCCCGTTCCGTCTCCGCAGGTGTGCGAGCCTCCGGGGCCCAGGCGCCTAGGCAGCTGCTGGAACGTCAGCATCGAGGAGCGCCGACGCCTGGCGATGCAGCGCGCAAGGGAGGGGCCAGGCGCCGGGGTCCCCTCCCAAGACCCGGTGCGCCGCGGGCCCGGATTCCACGCCCGCCCTGCCCCGCTCCCTCCCCGCCCTGCCCCGCTCCCTCCCCGCTCGGCCCCTGACACTGCAGTCCCCCGCAGGACATCACGCGGATGGTGGCCGAGCTGGCGTCGGAGGACGTGGTCAGGGACGTGCTCCTCCCTCACCGGCTCAGATCCTTCAATTCCAGCAATGCCTTCCAGGACTTCTTGACCCGGAGCGCACCCTTTTGGCAGAACGCGAATTTTGAGGCCCTGACCTAGAGGTCACCCCTCTCCTAAGAGCCCAGCTCCTAAGAGCGCAGCTAGTATCTGTGGTCCAGTGCCTTTCTTTGGGGGCGGGAAGTGGTGATGGTGGGGAGACGACCTCTGTGCCAAGCCCTCTTTGTGTCCCATGGGGTCAGGACCTATACACAGAAGAGGAACAGGCTGGGGCAGAGGTCTCAGGACTCAGGAGAGCTGCTCTTCCTGGGGCCCTGGCGGGGAGGTAGGGAAGAGAGTCAGAGAGCAGTCTTCTGAAAGAGCAACTGCACTGTGGACATAATGGTGTCCAGCACCTGTGGGCCCATAAGGAGACCCAACGGCACACAGGCCCTGGTTCATGACCCAATGCCTTGCTTGGGGCCCTCCAATGGCGGGACCATTTCACAACCACGTGAGACCCACAGGATCCTGCCTCAAGGCCTCTATGGGCACCTTTGACCTGGGATGGGGACAGTTTGATGGGGAAAGGAACCCAGTGAGGGGCTGGACAGAAGCAGGCTTCCAGGAGCAGGTGGTGACCCGGCTCATTCTGCACAGCAAATGAATGGGACAGGGCCTGGAAGGCAGTGTACATTATACAGAGCATCTGGGGCAGTATGAGGAATCCTGAACCCACAGCTAAGTCTACCCTTGTAGAGGTGTTGGGGGGCCTGCAGAAGGATTCTGGGCTGGGGTGATCACAGATGCCATACTTTGGGGACATCAACCTGGAGGGGAGGCAGGGTGGTATCCTGTCGGTGTGGGGCCAAACACCTTGGATTTCCAAGACCGGTAGGGGTGTTCCGGGCTTTTCCGTGAGTGTGGCGGGGTCCAAGGAGCTTTGAGTCAAAAGGAAATGATAGGTCCTAGGTTCCCGTGAGGGCAGGAGTCAGGCCTGTGCTCAGTTGGGCCTGACTAACCAGCTGGCTTGTGGTACTATACCAGCTGGTTCCTGTATGGAGCCCATTGCTAAGGCACAGACTTACCCTTGCTGGACATGGTGTCCCTGACCTGACTTGAATTCCATGCTCCTGCTTCCCTCCCTCCCTAAGACTCAGTGAAATACCTCCTCCTGATCACCCAGCTCTCTCCGGAGTCCCCCGAGTGTAATTCTTGTCCACCCTGTAGGACTCGTTTCTTGGATGGCAAGGGAAGGAGGAGGGCAGCACATGGAACTGCAAGGACAGGTAGTGGTCAGTCCCAAGGAGTGGGGTTTGGACAGGTCCTTGAGGCATATTGTGACCCCCCCTCCCCGTTCTCAGAGGCCCCTGAAGATGACCTGGAGGGTGGGATGCTCTGGGCTGAGCCCCATAGAAGTCAGGAAAACCGCACGATTCCTGTCAATGCAGGGGGAGTTAAGGTCAGCAGCCACTATAAAAGTGCCACGTGCTAGGTGTGTCTCAGCCCTGCGTGGCTTTAAAGGGCTTCATGGTTGTTTCATGTTTTGTTTTTTTGTTTTTTTGTTTTTTTTTAAGACAGGGTCTCTCTCTGTAGCCCTGGCTGACCTGGAACTCACTATGTAAACCAGGCTGGCCTTGAACTCAGAGATTCGCCAGCCTCTGCCTCCTGAGTGCTGGGACTAAAGGTGTGCGCCACCACATCCAGCAAAAGGACTTCATGTTATTTCACTTTCTTGCATGGCTGAAGGTTGACAGGATTCCTCCTGTTTTGTTCTTATCTGGGCACCTGCAACCTGATGGAGGGGTGCTGAGATGGTCGTCATCCCTTAGAATCTTCCCCACTACAGCAGCAGGCCAAGAAGTTGGGGCATCAGGGGCTGGGGTCCAGAGCTGGCCCTGGCCTACTGGCAACTTGTGGTAGTTAATGTAGTTGCAAGGTCAATGGGTTCAGCAGAGGAAGGAGTCTGGTTGCCCTGCTGTGACCATGCAGTTTCCAGGGTCTGCTGTAACTAATTGCCACAAGTGTTTTAAAAAAGCACAGATGTGCCGGGCGTGGTGGCGCACGCCTTTAATCCCAGCACTCGGGAGGCAGAGGCAGGCGGATCTCTGTGAGTTCAAGGCCAGCCTGGTCTACATAGTGAGTTCCAGGACAGCTGGTACTACAGGGAGACCCTGTCTCAAAAAGACCAAAAAAAAAAAAAGCACAGATGCAGTTTTGTAACAGTCCACAGTGGGTCTCACTAGAATTAGGACTGAGGTAGTCAGAGCTGCTCCCTCCTGAGGGTCCAGGAGCACCCTTGCCTTACCTTTCCCAACTGCCTGGGGCACCTTGGCAGCAGTTCTGGCCCTGCTGTACTCATCCCTCCTCCTGGTTCCCATAGTTAAGGACCCACCCTTGTGACGATTCTGGCCCTGCCTCCCCCATGTCCCCCACCCCCAGATGACTAGGGTAAACCCTGAGTTTTAAGGTTAGGCTAAGTTAGGAAACTTGACTTCCCTTGCTCCATCACCCAGCACATTCACAGGCTCCCAAGATGAGCACAATGCCTTCCCCAGGGTGCTGTTGGTCTCTAGTGGGCAGAGGGCCAGGTGCTGCCAAGGTCCTTCAGTGCATAGGACAGCGCTCCACAAACACAACTGACCCAGTGTCCACCATGCCCTCCTGGGCAAACCCGGGAACAGATTGGGGTACTGGGAGGCTCCGACACCTGTGCACCGCTACACAAGAAGTTACTCATTGGTTTCGCAAAAATAACAGCTCGCCATTAATAAAGGATAAAAAATCCATGTTTTGGTTACTAAAGTGACTGCTGTTAACACCAGGTAGAGGTCATTCCAATTATTTCTTGTGCATGTGAGGGAATGAAAGGATGGAAATTCTGAAGCATAGAACTACAGTTTACACATCTAAAAATATTTAAGCCAGAAAACTACTTTAAAACGTCTAAAATGCTGGGGGAGGTGGTGCACACCTGTAATCCCACCACTGGGAAGGCAGAGGCAGAAGGATTGCTGCAGGTTTGAGGCCAGCCTGATTTCTATAGTAGTTCAAGGCCAGCCTGGGCTCCACAGTAAGTTCCAGGCCAGCTGGGGCTACAGGGAGACCCTTTCTCAAAAAGACCAAAAAAAAAAAAAAAATTAAAAAAAATTTTTTGTCTTATGTGTCTGTGTGTTATGTCTGCACGTAGGTAAGTGCACCCGTGTCATGTACAATGCCTGTGGAGGACAGAAGAGGCTGTTGGAGCCCCTGGAACTGGAGTTACAGTTGTGAGCTGCCATGTGGGTGCTGGGATTTGAGCCCGGGTCTTCCGCAAGAACAGCCAATGTTCTTAACCGCTGAGCCATCTCTCCAGCCCCTAAAAAAAATTTGTGTTTTGTCTGTGTGTATGTATGTCTTCCACGTGGTATATGCCTAGTGCCTGAAGGCCAGAAGAGGGCATAGGATCCCCTAGAATCAGACTGTTGTGAGCCGCCATGTGGGTGCTGGGAACCAAACTTGGTCCTCTGGAAGAGCAGCAAGTGCTCTTAATCACTGGGCCACAGCTCCAAAAATTTTTTTTTGTAAACTATAAATGCATTAATAGATGAGTGCCATTTATTTTCAGCTTACTTCGATTAGGCAGCACTGATTTCTAGTTGGGTATGAGCACTGGGGGCCTCCCTCATTTCCTCTGCCTCTCACCTGATTCACACCGGCAAGACTTACGACACTGGCCATCCAATGCCGACCCCCCAGCCCCTGCTCTGATCTGTCGTCAGCTCACGACTAGGACTTCAACCACTCATTCTTTATGTATTTGAAAAAATATTTTATGTGTATGAGTATATTGCTTGCATGTGTGTAAGTGCACCCATGTTGTACAATGCCGAGGAGGTCAGAAGACAGCATTGGATCCCCTGGATCTCAAGTTAGAATGGTTGTTAGCCACCATGTGGATGCTGGGATTTGAACCTGGGTCTTCTGCAAGAGCAGTGTTCTTAACCACTGAGCCATCTCTCTAGCCCCTGAATTTATATATATATATAGCTGTTGTATTTTTTTCCCTTCCACCATCTCTGCCCTCTCCTTACAACCACCCCACCCAACTGATGATTGGTTTTTAAAATTACATATTGTACTCTGTTGAGCTTGACACCAGGCTGGCCTTGAACTCACAGAGATCCACCTGCCTCTGCCTCCCGAGTGCTGGGATTAAAGGTGTGTGCCACCACATCCGGCTGATTTACATTTTTGTTAGCCGACTTAAGATAAAATTTTTAAAAATTTATTTTAAGTGTTTTGGCTGCATGTATGCTTGTGCACCACATGCATACCTGGTGCCTATAGCAGCCATAAAAGGGTGTCAGATCTTCTGGAACTGGAGTTGCAGACTGTTGTGAGTCTCCATGTGGGTATTGGGAACTGAATCTAGGCCCTCTGTAAGAGCAGCAAGTACCCTTAACCACTGAGCCCTCTCTCCAGCCCCCTAAGTTTTTACTTTTAAAATTCTATTTGTGTGGGGCTGGAGAGAGGGCTCAGTGGTTAAGGACACTGGTTGTTCTTGCAGAAGACCCGGGTTTGAATCCCAGCACCCACATGGCAGCTAACAACTGTCCATAACTCTAGTCCCAGGGGATCCAACAGCCTCTTCTGCCCTCCGTGGGCATTGCATGGCACAGGTGTACTTACCTACATGCAGGCAACACACACATACACATAAAAAAATAAATTTTTTTTAAAAAGTTTAAAAAAAAACCCTCTTTGTGTATTTTGAGACAGGGTCTCATGTAGCCCAGGCTGGCCTCAAACTATGTAACTGATCTGCCCTTCCTCTATCTTCTAAGTGGTGGGATTACAGGTGTGCACCATCATGCCTAGCCACCTAAGTTTTCTAAGAACTTAAAATTTTTTTTATGCATATGAGTGTATTGCCTTCATGTATGTATATAAGTGCATTCATGTTGTGCAATGTCTGAGGAGGTCAGAAGAGAGCATCTGATCCCCTGGAACTGGAGTTACAGTTGTTAGCTGCCATGTGGGTGCTGGGAATCGAACCTGGGTCCTCTGCAAGAGCAGCCAGTGCTCTTAACTGCTGAGCCATCTCTCCAGCCCAGTTTTCAGAACTTTCTCATGTTTTGGTATGTCTGAAAATGTTTTCCTGGGGGCTTTACATGTGCATGAGAACCAGGCTGGGGAAACAACTGTTATTACACTTTCTTTTTAAGAACAATGTCTGGGGCTGGAGAGATGGCTCAGTGGTTAAGAGCACTGACTGCTCTTCCAGAAGACCTGGGTTCAGTTCCCAGTAGTGGCTCATAACTCTGGTCTCATAGTAATTGTGTGCATGCATGTGAAGCACATACAAACATATAAGCAAAACATTCATACACATAATAAATCTTTTGCAGGTGTGGTAGTGCACACCTTTAATCCCAGCACTTAGGAGGCAGAGGCAGGCAGAGCTCTGTTGAGGTCAAGGCCAGCTTGGTCTACACAGTAAGTTCCAGGCCAGCTGGGGCTACAGGAAGACCCTGAAAAAAAAAAACAAGGGACTGGAGAGATGGCTCAGTGGTTAAGAGCACTGGTTGCTCTTCCACAGGACCAGGGGTTTGGATCCCAGCACCACATGACAGCTAACAACCATCTATAACTCCAGTTCCAGGGGATCAGATAGCATCTTCTGGCTTCTGTGGGTACACTTACATACATGCAGGCAAAAAAAATGCATCCATATACATAATTAAAAAAATAAAGGAACTATTTCTGAGCTTTACTGCTGGAAAAATCTTTTTTTTTTTCTTGTCTGTGATGCTTTTTCTGAAAAGCAGTTTCACTAACCCTTGAAGTTCAGTAACAGAAGACGGAGTAAATGATGATGCACAGATGTTCTGGAGCGTGTCTCCCACCTGTCCCACACAGGCTGCGGGGCGGGGGGTTCTTACAACATGGCTGAAAACTTTTCTGCCTCTAGGACCAGGTACTATGGGTTGGGTTTCCTCTCTTATCTTTTAAGCCCACACTAGCCTCAGGTGTCCTTCACGCTTAGGCCAGCAGAGCACTCAAAGCAAAATTTCACAACCTAAGATCCTGAAGTGAGATGTGGCCCTATCTGCCCATCACTGGGTCTCTACTTACCTGCATGAAGCCCTCTCCTCCTTCCCTGACCTCCCAGGAGATGAACAGTGCCTTTTAAAAAAAATTTTGCACATTCATACAATAGATTTTGATCATATATAGACCCCCCCTCCCCACTGGATTTCACTTTGCTGTACCTCATCCACTGGACCCCAAAAAGACCACCGAGGACCCAACACACCAAAATGCAAAAGCTAAGGTTTATGGTTTATTTGGGCTTAAGCTCGGGCTCTCAGACCTCACCAACTCAAGGGATCCGTGCTG